ATAGAATTCTAAACTCTTGATATTTAGGCATGATTATTGATATTAGGTATTATGGGTTTTAACACGAAAGTCCTTTGCGAGTTTTCGTAAGGGTTTTAACACAACTTCAGTGAAGGGTTAAGAGAAGTTTTAGAAGATAGGAATGAGAGGGAAGAATATTTTGGCAGCTTTGGAAAAGGATTGGTTGCCGAAAATGTTGTTTAAGGTATATTTTAGTAAATTAATTATATTTTTGGTTAAATTATTTTATGAGCCAAGATATCTTTGAATTTGAAGTTAATTGCGGATTCTAGATTATTTGTCCGGGGCGACAAACTCGAGGCGAGAGTGGAAATTCACTGTAAAGCGACCCTGTAAATTCAGGTAAATCAATCTTACGTTAATATAAGATGATAATTCAATTAACAAAAATTGTTTACATTTTAAAGTTTAATATTATGTTTTAAAAGTTATTAAGCTCAATATATAACAACTGCGATGTGAAATAGGCAAACTCGGTCAGACTAAATTCTCACAAGCACTCTTTCTCTCTTGCTGAATCAAGTTCCATTGAAATTGCCACAATTACACACAATACATTTTACTTTATAATTCATTCATATTCTTATATATTCGAAAGCGTGTAAAATCATATCACTAAAATATATATCTATACAAAGCCGTTAAATTCAAAATAATAAAAGTATGTACCAAAAAATCGATACAAATCACACCTGACTACTTGATTTTGGTGCTCCTTACTCATTCCTTAAAGTTAATAATGTAGAATTAGTTGCAACAAGTTTATTGAAATAATCAAAATTAAAATAAGATTTTATAGACAAAAAAAAACATGCATACTCATATGAAACTCATATATATGTCATAACAAACGTTACAACGTGCTATAATTTTATAAAACATATAAAATAAAAGACATGTAATGCAGAGAACCATGATTTCTATATAAAAATATATTTTCTTCATTCATATGCAATCATTAGGAAATGCATAAGAGTCATCAATGTAATCATATGTATGTCACTTAAAATTGTATATGCCTCAATTATTTTCATGCCCTGTCATGTCATGAGTTGTCAGCCAACCCGAAGGCTACATAAATTTTTGTTCAATGTTATGCTCCTCCGATCATAGCAACTATCAATTGTTCTCTTGGCACCAACGGCTTTCTATATTATGTTTTTATCTGATCCCAAAGGTTCTCAGAGTTTCGTCTTTTTCAGAATGTTAGGAGTCGGGAATTCCATAGTTCTTTAGCATTTGTATTTGTATTCATGTAAAATTCTGCCTATAACTTCACTTGTGATATTTCTTAAATCATAATTCATGTAGCAAACATTCATCATGTGCATTTTATATATCATATGCACTAGTCATAGTAAATGAATACCTGCAATCAATTGATTTCATAGGCTTGTTTATCATATTCATAAGATAGTAAAATTATAGGTATTATGAGTTACAAATCAAGTTTGTATTCATACAATTTATGTAGGTATTTATCCATTTATGTAGGTATTTATCCACAATATGTAAAAAATTTTAAATGCAACTGTTAAACATATAATCACATAAAAAACCTACATAAAATTATTTTTCTTAAGTTAACACGAGATTATTTCAGCTGAAACGATGGAGCAGTTTTATTACTAATTGCCCCAAGATCGTCTCGAGTTTTTTTTTTAATGTGAACAAATTGGAATTCGTAACATTTTAGGATTTTTTCAAATTTTGGCTTATCTCGTGATTTAACTCCAAATAAAACTCATTTACAAATTCTTACCTCAAAAAACATCTCGTCATAACTAACCATTCTCTGATACTTCCTATTGTTCTTCTCTCTCCCTCCTATCCCCTTAACTCTTTTTATGAAATTCGTGGAATGGACCTACCAGAGAGCGTAAATCTCGGTTTGACAGTTCCATGGTTCACGAAAAGCTACATGAGAACTCACTAAGAAGGCTTGAATTTGTAGAAATTTCAAAATGGAAGTGTGAGGAAATGAATGTTTGGAATAGCATATAAATTTAGTTTCTTCTTACCAAAATCTCCCCAGAACTTTTGTCGTGAGCTGCGACTTCCATACCACCGCCTGATCATACTCTGGCGCCTTACTTCAGGAACCGACCAAAGCTTCTATTAAGGGGAAGAATTCGAGAGAGAGAAGTGGGGGCACGACATCTAATGCGAGTCCATTGGATCTCATCCGTTTGAAACATACCACAATTGAGAATTGCAAAGGAATGACAGTGGCTACAGTGCCGAGAGAGAGATTAGGAAGTTACTTAGGATTAGTTAAGTGTAATTAAACTTATAACTTCTTAATTTAATATTTTCTCATACTTTTAAAATTCATGCATAGTGTCGTATATCAAATTGATCAGTTCAATGTCTAGAATTTTATAAAATTTATCTAACCGAATTTTGAGGGATGCAGAATTTGGGTTATGCTTTTCAAGTTCCAAGATTTTTACCCGATTTCTCAATTTTTGTTGTATTTCTTTTTTCTTCCCATGTAGCTTATTTTTCAGGCTTAGGTTTCATTTTCTTCTTGATAAAAGGATAAAATCTATTTCTAAAATATTTTAAGACCCTTCAATATAAGTTAGATTTATTTGTACTTTAAGGTCTTCATTTGAAATTCTCTAGTATGAATTTGAAACTCATTTTCTCAGTATAGAGTGTGAAACACATCATGAATATCTATCATATCATTAGGTAAAACTAACTTGTAAGAAACCGGACCACTCCTTTTCATAATTTCAAAAGTGAATTTGTTTGGCCTGATAAAACTCTTTTCTTTCAATTCCCGCAACAGTCATTTCAAGTCTTACAATTCCTTCAGAACCATCCTGTAAGAAGACTTGAAAATTGCAGACGGCCTGGCTGCACATCAATTCTAAAGTCAACTTTTTGTTCTAGTGGTAGTCTTGGCGATTCTTCAGGAAATATATCAGGAAATTTTGCAATGATTGAGATATTTTTTAATTCCTTCATATCCTTATGTAACACTTCTAATTTGACTAAAAGTATGGGTTCACCACTTCGTAAATACTTTTAAACTTTTACTGCACTAAGAAGATTGTTCATTTCGATTACATAAGATATAAAAATGACTTTTTACCAAATAATTTGAGTTTCACTTAACTTTTTATAGAATTCAATTGTACCAAAATTATTTACTAATCAGATCAGTCTCAATATGACGTCAAAAGTCTGAATTTGTATTATAATCAACTTTGCTTGCAGTTTCTTATCATAAATGTTATCATTTATGACACATTTTTTGTTTGCATAAACACCAATTTCTGAAGACATAATAACACGTAAGACGAGTAAATTACATAATATCAATAGATAAACTAGTAGCAAACTCATCATAAATGAAAGAATGCGATGCACTTGAATCGAATATAATATTGCTAGGCTAATTATGAATCAGAAGTGCGCACGTAACTACTTTAGATTTTTTAACTTCTTGAGGGGTAATTACAAAAACTATGACTTTTACTGGTTGTTCAGTTCAATGCTAATAAGTTTCACTGTTGACTTGAGTTGAAGGTTTTTCCAAAAATTAAGTTTTACTGGGCTGACAGCCTCCAAAAAATTCTTGTGTGTTTCTGTTCATGAATTGTCAAATTATCTGTCTCTTTTCTTTTTTTGCGGCCAGTTCATCTGAAGATGTCCCAACTATCCACATCTATTATAACACGTTTTTGAACCCATCAAATACTGCCCAAAATGTTTCTTTTTCATATTTTTTCAAAAAATGACATTTCTTACTGTAGCTGCTTATGCTTACTTCCTGATTTAATTTTATTGCTCTGAAGTTCTCTTTTTCCAAAATCTTTTAACTTGCTTACCTGAGGTTGCCATCGTTAATCGAAGAAGTTTAGCTTATTTTTAATTCATCTGGCTCTTTCAACTAGCTTTGAGAAATCATTGATTTCAAACTAAACCAAAGTTAACCTCGACTGATCTTTGAGGCCGTATAGAAATTTATGTCATTTTTTTTCTTGGGTACTGACATAGCAGAATGCATATCTAGAAAGAAAAGTAAATTTTGTCTTATAATGCATAGCTGATCTGGACTCCTAAATCAGATTGAAGAATTTATCTTGCAATGCTAATTTGGCTGAAGGCAGAATGAATAAATCATTGAAACTTTTGACAAAATCATCCGACTGAATCTATGGAAGAGGTTTCAGCTGAAGTTTCTCTATATGTTGTGCATGCCACCACCTCTCCGCGTTGTCTTCTAACATAAAAGTGGCTAGCAACACTTCTATTTTCCGGACAAATCATACCATCAAAATCTTTCCTATCATTGATAGACAATCTTTAATAGCTGTGGGGTCACTGACACCTATGAATGCATGCGACTTAAATGTCTAAAAGATCTTCAAGTGTCAATCAACTTCTGCCCCAATTTCAGATCTGAGCATTGTGCTAGTAGAATATTTTTCAATAGAAGCCATTTTGTCAACCGCTTGTGAT